GAATCGCCACACTGTTTTCCACAGAGGTTGTACTAGTTTACACTCCCACCCACAGTGTAGAAGAGGAACACTATTTTGTAAGAGTATGCACATTCTACCTTGAGTGAAAGAGAGTTTAAAATAATCAATTGACAACTTTAATACAATTTCAGATTCTGTTTTCTCTATTTTTGACAATTCACTATGGCTGGCATACCACATTTTTAAGCCTCCCCTGGGTAACCAATGGTCTAATAAATGTGTATCTAGGGAGATGTAGGAAGACCAATTAGCAGTGGATTTCATAAGATTACACTCATCTTCTCTGCTCACAGTATCACTGCTCCCTATGTTACTTGAGAGTTATCCTTTTACTCTCTACAATCACACCTGGTCATGCAAAGACAACATAGTGAGAGTTTTTGGAGAGAAGGGTCTAGGTAAGAAATCAAATAGAATAAACAGGGCACTCTGCCCAGAGGGAGGTGTCATTCAAAATCTCCAGTTCAAGGGGTCTAAAGTGTTCGCTGACCTTTAGTTTTTCAGTCCCCTTGTTGGGCATTATCTTAGTCTCTTCTATAATACCTGGCAGCATCAGGTGGGCCTTGATCTCATTCAGGGGGCCCTGCCTTCCTCTCCAGCAAACTTCCATGTGGGAAAGGAAGGAACCACTCACATTTCACAAAAGAGACTCCAGGCATCCTCATGCCCTCAGTCAGAGAGTTTTGTTAAACCTCATGTCTCTACGAGCATCCAACAGACACATGAAAAAATGCTCAGCCTTACTAGTCATCAACGAAATGAAAAGTAAAACCACACTGAGATAACTCTAGTCAGCCTGGCCATCATCAATAACTCAAAAAACAATAGATGCTAGAGAGGATGCAGCAAAAAGGGAACACTGTTGGTGTAAACTAAGTACAACCTTTGTGGAAAACAGTGTGGCGACTCCTAAAAGATCTGAAAATCGACCTCCCACATGACCCCACAATCCCCCTACTGGGAATATACCTGGAGGAACCCAAATCACTCTATGAAAAAGATACCTGCATACGCATGTTTATTGCAGCATTATTTGCAATAGCAAAAACATGGAACCAACCATGCTGCCCATCAAAAGAGGACTGGATTTAAAAAAAAGTGGTACATACACACGATGGTATATTATGCAGTAAAAGAAAGACAAAATTATGAACTTTCATAGCAAATTGGATGCACTTAGAGTCTATAATACTGAGTGATCTATCACAGAAACAAAGAACTGAGTATCACATGTTCTCACTCGTAAGCTGACCTTGAACAATTATCATAATACTATAAGAAAGGGATTGGCAGTAGTGGGAAACTGCCAGGGGAGGGGGTGGCACACCACATCCATAATGAACATTTATATACCTAACCCTGAATTGTACCCCACATATTTAAAATTTAAAATTAAAAAACAAAAAAACTTCATGTCTCACATAAAATCTTTGTATTTGGATCACTACTGTGGAATCTGCTTTTTCCCAAGATTAAGAGATGGATATATATCCCACATATGTACTTTTGATTAAAGGATCTTTTTAATGACCTTCCCAAACAAAACACTTCCTCTAAGTACCAATGTTTTACAAGGAATCAATAAACATACATAAATATTTGTTGGAAAGAATAAAGTGTTGTCTCCAAGCTGGTATTTCTATGCATTAGTTAATTTTCACTTACACCTTGAATTTTTAAAGATACAATATCTAATATTAATTCTATACTTTCTAAAGACTAACTTATGAAAGATATGAATGTGCCAAAAGAAAAAATAGAATAATGTATCATGACCTATCAAGATAGACAGGCTCTGTCAAGGAAAAAGTAGATTACTGGCTGTATAATTTCAATAATTAAATTTGCCACATATTTAAAAGCTCTTGTTAATGTTTTCATATCCAGCTTGGAGCATGGAGCTCCATTTGGTATTTTCTGACTATACTGAAAAGTAAACCTTTTATAATCCTTGAATGAGAATCAGTGACCCGCAGAGTCAAGCATGCCAAAAGTGCTTGATGACTGGTTTTTAAGTAAATGAAGGATTGTGCATTACAGTATGTATTCATGGTGGGCTAATATGTGCTAAGGCTTAATAAATATTTTGTTTTCAAAAGTTGGGTTAAACATGCCACTGTTATACTAAGTTAGAAAGTATAGGAGACACAGAAGAAACGTCTCAGGTTCTACTTCTGCCTGGGAAAAGAACTGAGAGAAGACAACCACATTAAAGAAAAATCTACAGAGTGTAGACCAACAAAGGGACCCAAACAGCACACAATTCTGTGTGCTACATGGCTGCCAATACAAGTTGGTGCCATTTTATTTTAAAAGCAGAATTTCTGTTTGAGGCCCCCTTGATAATGTTTCTAGCTTACAAAAAGGCAGTCACTGAGGAGACAGCAAAGTAGAGCTACTTATCTAGTTTGATGTGGGCACAGGAGACTGCATCAGTGAAGAGATGTGTCAGGGGCTACATGGAATTCGGCTAAGGCAGGAAGAAACCAAATGTGTATTAAGCACCTTCGATGAGCCAGTACTTTGCTAAGTGCTATTTCAGTTAGCCTTCCCCATGATTCTGAGAGGTAGTTGTCTCTGCTTTTCACATTAGGAAACTACAGACTGAAGGACTTACCCAAAGTCACATAGATGTGAAATGGCAGTCAGACTTCCAACGTGATGCCCCTATAGCCTTAACACTAAGGATAAGAAACACAGCTCAGAGTGTGTGTCTTACATTGTTACCCCTTTCTTTTTGTGCTGTACAAGCTTTTCTAACTAAACTAAACAGAAAGAACCGCTGCATGTTACAGTATAATCAACTCTTCAAATTACTTCAGAGTTGGTAAGAGGAGGTCCTTGAGTTCAGATCCGAAATGAAAAAGGCTGTCTGTTTTTCTACATAATGAAATATAGAATATGATTGAATATGTGCCACTCGACATGTATCCCATTCTTAAGGCCAAGCTTTATTGAACATTAGTAGATATAAAGTAAGAACCACCCCTTTAGGTACCTTCTGCAAGATTTTTTCCAGCTCAGATTCTCTGCCTTGGGAGTGATTACAACCTTGATTTCTACAAAGGATGCAGAGAACCAAGACAGAAACAGACACTGGAACAAAGGGATCACAATGAATATTAGTTTTAGTCTACTTCAAAACCAGATTTTTGGAAATAAACACTAACCTGTATAACATACTGTCAATATAAAACATAGCCAAACACAATGTTTTCAGGGGTTATGAAAACTTTATTCATAAAGAAAATCTGAATTATACACATCCCCTTTAAAAGCAACCACCTCAAATACATAGAAACACTTCATTTTCTTCATGATTTGATCAACACCAGAAGGATGAAACCACAGCACCAAAGTACAGTCCGGTATTTTTGAAGGGGATAATAGCCATTCGAGATAACAAAGTAGTAGAAAATCAGAAGAAACAAATCAAGGCATTCATTTCAAAGGTTAAACAACCAATTCGTTCAAACAAATTTTTCTTCTATGAGTCAATAGATTTAGTCATTGGTTCTTTCTAACGCTCTCCTGTACATATAATGTACATCTAAAAACATGATGGAGTTCTTTGAGTATAGTAAGAACTGATAGCCAATATGATTTACAGAAATTCATGACTACAAAGCAATAGTTCAGAGACAATCTCAAGAAAATATAAAGATATGCTTCATGATAGGAAAGGATTGGTTTTGCAGGCAGCTTTTACATTCATTTGTGATTATTTTTAAATAACCGCTCCACTCTTGTCCTTTTTGCCCCACCCCTTACTAAAATTTTATAAACATATTTCAGATATACTGCCTGAAAAAAGGGAAGTACAGGAATATTAAAAGATGATGATGCCTTGGAATGAATAGAGAACATATACATAATGGGTTCTCGCTATCAGAACAGCACATTAATGTGTGCAGCTAGAAGAGATCGTAGATACTTTTAATCCAGAGAGGAAAGAAAGTTAGGCCTGTTACTTGACTACAGTTTCTAGGGCTCTGGTATAGCTATATTTTTAGGCATAGCTCCAAGGAGCAGCCTACACAAATTTGGATGGCGTGAGGAAGGCACAGATGGTGGCCACGGGAAGGCACAGACCGATCGAGTGGGCTCGGTTACAAAGTCTGTACGTTTCGGCTGCTGTATTCCTCTTATTTCAAGTACTGCCAAGTCCCGGCTGCTCCCCCTCTTTCCAAAGTCTTGATTCATTTAATTCTCCTGAAGGAGGTGGAAGAGGAGGAGGATTGCGCAAATCTTACTGTTTCATGGTTTAGGAGAGATCGTCACCATCTTGGCGCCTTGTCAGATTTTAAGTGTAACATTTTGCTAAGTGTAAAGCTGTGTATCTGTTCCTTTTCTGTTGCCGTGATTGTAACTTCAATATTTGCAAAACACAACATCAAAATACTTCAAATCCAGTCCAAAGCAGTTATTCATGAAACACAATTCTTACGTGTATCAATTGTACAGTGAACTCGCAGCAAAGAAATCTTTTCTTTCTTTTTTGTTTTGTTCCTTCTGTTCACTTACATTTTTTTTTCTCTCTTTGAGGATTTAATGATGATTTTATCATACAATAGTAAAATCTCACATACACACACACACACGCAGCATATATAAATATATATAAAGCTTAATACTATGTTACCTCTAATTTGATGCATTATTTAGAAAAAGGATGCAAAGCTAAAGTTATTTTACTGTTTGAAATACCCTGTGAATTGCTTGTAAAGCATAGAGCACCATAGTGATATGGAGAGTTTTAATTTTTTACTATAAAAAACATGTAGTGTTTGCTGTAAAAAGTTGTTAAAATACTCAAGATGTGCTTCTAAGTGGTGCCTGATTAATGGCAACTGGCATTAAAGCACTACTTTCTTACTCTTTAAAGAACAGCCTACAACATTCCAAATTCTCAGTCATTTTCTTCTTTATGTAAGAAACAATATCAAAATTCAAAATGGATTAGTCTTTCTTTAAAAAAAAACAGGGCACAAAGTATTTTTCAGGTCATCATCGGGATGCTTGGTATTCTATCAATGTAATTTATGTGTGTGATCAATTCTGCTCCAAAGACTTATCCACTAAGCTCTCCAATGAGCCTTTTTGGTCTGAGCTAATGTGCAGGAAGGCCATTTTTAAAGCAAGTCAAAACACAAAAAGGTTTTAACATTTGTTAATCAGGTGTTTTATCTGGAGGACATAAAAGATATTTACAATCCTCTAGCTTACTGACTTATCGTTTCTCTTTTTCCTTGGATATTTATATTGTGTAGAAATTAACACTACCACAATCAATGGAATTATTCACCTCTCTTCTAAGGCAACAAAATATTTTTCTTTTAGGTAGAATTTCATGATTAGTAAAGTATATTAATAGGCAATGTGAAGAGGCAAATGAGCTCGGCTGTCATCTAAATTTCTGCTTTCAACAGATAACAATAATAAAGTTCCTGGTAACATTTACGCTGCATGAATTTCCATTTCGACTTGCTTAAAACATTGATATAATTCAGAATATAATAATAACAATAATAACAGAAAGAAGTCTCCCACTTTAGGGCACTTGTGCTTTAAACCATAGTCACTCAAAAACAAAACAAAACAAAGACTATGCTCCAAGTCAAAAATTAATTGTTCAAATAAGAACATCAAAACATTATTTTGAGCCTGTAGCTTGATTGTGCATACAAATCAATAAAAGGACTGTATATCAAATACAATTTCGTGAATGGAACACATCAGCATTACCCAATCTTCCTAAAACGTACTTGGTTGCCAAGAGAGATACTTTTCAACATGTCACGAATGTGCTATTTGTATAAACACTTCCTATTACAAATACTCTTGTTATTGTTTAAATGAGTGTTTTTAACCTGAACTATTAATAATTTTTTTCCTTGTGGTGCTTGGCTTTCAGAAGAAAGAATCTTTAGGCCTCTTCTCTTGTGAGAGTAATTTCTCTTAACACTGACAGTGCTGCATAAATACAGCCAGGAACTCGTTAAATAGACTTCTGAGCATAATTATAATTAACAATTAGCTAGAAATTAGTTTTAATGATTTGTTTTAGATGATAGAAAAGAAGCAGAATGTAATTATTTTTAAACCTTCTACATCATTAAGAATACAACTACCCCCACCTTTCAATTATTGCGAGGCAGACAATCATCTGAAGCATTTAGTGAGTGATCTGCTTACGGAGTCAAACTAAGGGAGCCTGAAGAGAGAAGGCCACTGCCCCAACCCAGGTGTTTATAATTATTTAGCCTTTTCACAAAGTCTCATCCTTTTCTACTCTGCTCCTTTAAGCTATTTCATGCCTTAAAGACAGCTCTGCTAGAAGAAAATGAAGAGAGTCAGTTCTTCATTCATCTCCGCCTTTCTCCAAGACATAGTGAGGGTCATAGCCAGAGGTAGGAAGGACCGGAGGAAGAGTCTACAAAATTTAGCAAACGGGCCTGAAATTCACACTTCACACCCTCAAATAGGAAAGGAGATTATGTAAGTAAGGGATAAAATGAGTAATAGGAATAAACTCCAGACTATCAAGGCAGATCTGTGCCATTCTTTCCCTGTTCAGTGTTCTTTCAACTTTTAATATCTCAAAATCAGTTTGGATCCTGTTTTTGCCACAAGAATGTTAAAAAAAAATACAAGAGAAACCTGAAGAAATGTTCTTTTGTTGTCTGGAAAATATAAAAATATTCATTTATAACAGTGAATATTATTTATTAACAAAAGGTTTTTTTTTCTTTCTTTGTTTAAAAAAATGATTTTACCTCAGCTACTCAGTATGCTTTTTCTCTCTCAAGTTTGAATGAGAATGTTAGACCTTTTGCTGCTGGCCTTCAGAAGTCGTTAGGGAACACATCCTGACACCCACATAAAAGACCTGGTACCTATGTTTCCACATCACAAAGCAGGCCAACAAGCACACAAGGCCGCAGACCAAGTTAAGAATCATCTGGATGAGTAAGAACAGTTTGAAAGTGCCAGTGACGCTGGTACACTCAGTCACATCCCGGTAAACAAAGGTCCTGCTGAGCGGCTCCGAGGAGGGCAGTTTGCAGTGGCAGGAATCCACTGTGGTCTCACAGGTAAACTGTGTGAGCAGTGAATAGTGATGGGCAGCAAAGGCCACGGCCAGCACACAGACCATCAGGCCTAGGGCACTCAGCAGAAAGTACAACAACTGCAAGAAAGCAAAAGAAAGCCTTTCTGGTTACGAAGAACACTGAATGATTATCTGCAAAGTTAATTCATCATAACTCTTCTTTTTCTTCTCTCCTGGAAGTTCTCTGATGGAGCGAATTTCTCCTAAGACACATAGCACCTAAGAAATGGAAATAGCCCCATGTTTATTTGTTAGCAATTCTTAAACCCTGATCACATTTTCGTGTGCTATCCAGATGGTGGGCCCTTTTCATGAACTGTAACAGCCATATTGGCTTGACTGTGGTATGTTTATGTCTAGATATTGCAAGCAGTTTAGATGAACTCCTAGCAAGTTATCTCTGAATGACACATGGCACTTATTTTGACCTCAAGAACTGCAGATAATTAAAACTGAAACAAGACTAGGAAGTAAAGAACAGGTTTCTGCAATGTAAACTCTGAATTGGCCGAAATTAGCAATAATTGGTCAGCTAACAACAGGTGTTAACAAAAAGACTATGTTCAATGTAGTGGTTGCCAAACTGTGTCCATAAACAACAGAATCCCCAGCAAGAGGTTATGGCTCCAGAAGGCAAGTGACTTGATGTCAGCTTCATCACCTATGTGTCTTATCCCAAGTCCAACTATAACTGTATGGTTCTTGAGTGTAAAAATAAATTCTAAATGGCTCCTCAGTCACTGGGGTTTTGACCATTGTAGACCTCTGGGTTCGCCTTGAGATTGGAACATTTGGGTTCAAGTTGTCACTCTGAAGCTAACGAACTGTGGAATCTCTGAACAATTCAGGCATTTTTCTTACACCTGAAATATACTGATCAAAAATTGTGAGTATTCATTGACATGACTATAATAAAATCTGTTTTACAGAACAAGAATTTTTGTGATTGGACTTACCAACAGGAAATGCTTCTTTTAGTGATCCGCCTGCTGAGGTTTCAGGTAAAGATTAGAGCCCTCAGCTTTGGGGACTAATATATGCAGTTCTTAGCAAGATTTATATTACCACCGTCAAAAGGTGCTCTTCACAGGGAGCAATTCTGATGAATGAGAACTTTCCGAAGTAAGATTAGTTCCAGTCATCTCCAGGTTCAGATCAAAGTAGCTCTGAAAAGATTATGCTTCCTCCCACCTCCCATTATATATAATTCAAAATAAAAACATATATGTGAACTATAAAGTACATGTACAAAAGTTCTCCAAATGAGTGATTTTCCATACAGTGACAATTTTAAATGTTTTCAAGCCTCAAATGTGGTATACCATACTTAAAATTTTATTTTTTCTCTGTCTTGAGTGGTATGTGTATGTGTATTCGTACATGTGTGTGTACATCCTGGATACTGGTATCCTAAGCACATGTCTGGTTTGCCTATAAGGGAATCCATCAAGGATCACACACAGCTTGACTGAGTATCTGAGGTCAGTGGAAGAGAGTGGAATGTAAAGTCATTTTTACCTTCATACATCTTAACATGTCTTAACCAAAGAGTAAATGAATTCCTTAGGTCTTCTCATCAAAGATGCTTAAACACACACACTATTTATTATCTTCAAATCGTTTGAAGGGTTGTCAGATGTTACCTAAGTATCTTTATCTGTGAAAGTTTGTAGAAACATATCTCAGGGACACAACAAGGATTATACTCAACATGTTTTGTGTTCACTGAAGGAAGGGAATGAGATAAATACAAAGTGGCACCGTTATAAAATTTAAAAGGAAATATTTAATTTGTAGTATTGAAAGCACTGCCTTGGTCCTGTCCCCAATATTTTTGGTGACTGTATTTTATGCAAAAATTTGAATTCTTAGGCCAAAAACATGGGATCATTTTGTGGGGCCAAGGGGGAGGGTATTTGAACTATTTGGAGTTGTTCTGAAATAATCCAGCTCAATGATTGACTTCAAACTCTTGGTGCCAAGAGCCACATGAAACTGCTGGCCGTGCTTTGTGTGTGCGTACCCATTGTAGCTGCAATTCCAGTGCAGCCAGCAGAGAACTGGGAACTATTTGCTCTGGGAACACTGGTGCATCTACAACTTTACCAGATGGGAAGGGCCAGGTTAAAGTGATCATTTCCTACCCGGTAGTTATCTGCTTTGAACGGCCCCAGTTGGAGTTTTCTGTACATGTAGGGAGTGTCAAAAGAATGTAGAGGCATTTTAAGAGATGTTATCTGTGCATTACTTTTCAATGTTTAATTGAATTATGTAGCAATGCATAGTATGACATTCACTCAACTGTGCTTCCGTCATTTTCTTTGACTCTCCTGCCTGTCGCATGGTGACACTAGGATACTGAAAATATGCATGCTTTTTTTTTTTGGCACCCCCTGCATTTTATTGCCTTCAATGAATGAAAGTATGGTGGGGTCTTATAATAACCCTCCTTCCACCAACACACATCCTTAGGTAGCAGTTTTCTGTAATTCATTGGGGCAATATCTTGAAGCAATGACAATAATTCCTCATTCTCAATATGCAAATAATTCAAATAGTTGCAAAATATTCTATTCTCTCAGGACGGCCACAAAAATCCTTCTGCTGAAAACGGGAATTTTGTCTACTTTTAAAATATGACCTGTTGGCTCAGAGATTAAATTAAAAATTTGCCCGAGACCATTTAACAAGTCCACAGCAGTACTGGGTGATGGTTAAGGGCATAAACCAGGGAGCCAGATTGCCTGGGTTGGAATCTTGGTTCTCCCCTCAATAGCTACCCTCCTTAGGCAAATTAATCAATCTCTGTGCACCTGCATTTCTTCATCTGTAAACTTGGTGTGATGATCGTAATAATTGTTCCTATTTCATAGGATTATTATAAGGATCAAAAGAATTGATATCTGTAACTAGGACAGTGTCTGGTACATAGTAGCACTATTTAAGTATTTGTGAAATAAATAAACAAATTAGTAGAGTTGGAGAGAGCTGCCAGTTCTTAGGACTCAGGATATCAACTCTACTGGCTGTGTCTTCTTTTCTGTCCTGTGGGAGTAACAATGCTTACTTGGCTTGTAGAAAGGATGTAAACATTTACACAAACACAGTGGTTGCTCAATTTTAATTGAGCCGCTCAAATATGCTAGAAGTCAGCCTGAGCACAAAGAAAAACCATGCCCCTTAGCTTCATTGAATATGAATAAGTTGACATCAGTGTACATCTCACACTTAATGATTCGCCTTCTCCCACTCGGAGAAAGCATCCGGCCAAGTAAACTGGAGGAGGCCACGGCATCAAGTTTCTTATCCATTTTAAGACAGAAATATAGACTTGATCCCCCAAAGCCTGTGGGCTACATCCGTAGCGCTGTTGCATTTTGTCTTCGTGGCTTTTAACTCATCTGACAGCAACAAGCTTCTGGGTTAGAATCTGTAATTTAAAATCAAGTGGCTTGTTTTACCTACACGGCACGAATAAACTATCACGGAAAGTGTTTACGATGACCTTGGGAATCCGAGCAAATATATCTTGATAAGAGCCCGGCGCGGGAGGCATTTGTCTCGCGGGTGTCAGCCCATCAGTCTGGCGCTGCGCGGCGGGCGGGGGCGCGCTGGCCCCGGGCGCTTAGGCAACAGCAGCGCCCGGGCGCGTCTCCGCTCGCCCGCAGCCTCTAATTGGTACCCGGCTGCAGCTTGCACCTTCGGTGACTTGGGGAGGAGGCTGGTTCTGCTCCGATTTAATTACCTTCCCCGGTGGCCCGAACGGCAGGGGCCCCTCTGCCGCACGCCGCCCAGGAGGAGGCCCCCTGGAGGTGGGCAGGAGGGAATATGCCCCCGAATGGTTCCGCAGTCACGTGACTCTGACATGTGTCTGAACCTCCAGGTGAGCCCCGAGAAAGCAGGGCCACGAGGAAAGGCAGGAGGCGCTCGGCCCGCCAGGCCCAGCGGCAGGGCCCAGGGAGGAAGAAGGAACAAGCGCTGGTGGCATCCAGGGTCTGCCAAGGGGCCCCGGGAGAAGACTGTTCCAACTTGAGAGAAAAACAGAAGAGCCCGTGGCTATTGTCTCTAAGAGAAAGAGAGAGAGAGAGTGTGTGTGTGTGTGTGTGTACGTGTACAGACTACTGTGAGATTGTCATCATGGCCTGATTGCTTGCCCTGGCTGGCTGGGCGCTCAACAGGAGGAAATACATCCTCAAACAAGGCTTGGGAAAGGGTGCCAACGTGGGGGCACTAAAACGCAGCTATGCGGATGAGAAACCCCTTAAGAAGATGCATTTCACCCCCTCTCCCGCCCCATGGTCTGAGAAGCATGCGGGAAGGAGTTGTACCCTTCATCACTGGAAAACCTGGGGACGGGCTGAAGCTCGCTTTCAACCTGAAGATCACGTAGCGTGCGACCTTAGAGAGCTGGCAGCAGCATCACTAAAGGTCACATTCAGGAGAAGAGGAAAATGCTTCAGTATTTGTCAATGTCTGTCACAGGTGGGAAAAAAAGATAGCTAATGAGATCTTCCTGGTGGGGAATTCGCAACCTGGCTGACATTGGCAGTGACTTTTTTCTCCTTTTTTCTTTCTTTCTTTCTTTTCTTTTCCCCACCTTGCTCACTGTTTTAACTAAGGTGCAGATGTTGAGATGCCCCGGGGCCTCTCAGACGCGGATACTTTTTCCTCTGCTGTTTTCTGGGATCATCTGGGTGAAACATGAGGGAATTTCACGTAAACTGCTGAAAACCTACTGAATGAAGTTCCTGTAATTTAAGAGATCATTTCTTACCTATTTTTTTTTAATCACTAAGACTTGCTTTAGTCAGACCTCTACACAAAAAGTAAACATGGACTGATGTCTCCTTTTAAGTAAAAAGTCCTCAGAAAAAGTAAAATTTCCAAATGTAGGCATATCCACCCAAATTCTAACTTTATCAATTTTTAAAAATAGCATATATTAATTTTTTAATTGGAAGGGTTATGTCTGACTGTTGAAGAGCATTTCAAAATCAGAGAAAAACTACAAAATGCAGACATAATCCCACCACTTACAGGTAACTATTTTTGTGTGCTCATTAAAAGCTTTTTTTCTTCTACAGGAGTGTACATTTTGTGTAGCCAGCTTTTTTTATTAATAAATATGATACAAACATTTTATTCCATTAATAATTTTATATAGCATGATTTTAAAAAAACATTGACACATTGCTTTTTTTGTCTCAACAGCTCCTAATATACTAGAATATTCCAACACATCTTATTTTTTATCTCAATAATATCATTAACTCACTCTTATGCTTTATGTTTTCTTGTTCTAGTGAACAAAAGAACATCTAGTTTTTATGTTTTTTGTAAAAGAAAGTAAACAATGTGAATTGACCCCCCCAAAAAATCACAGAAATCTTTTTATTCTCTGCTACAGTAGTTGAGAGAAAATATAGGGATTTGATTTCTACTAGTTCTGATTGCCAAGTTCAGTGTTTGTGTCCTTAAACTCTGAAAAGGTGTGTCTGTGTTTCCCTTTGGATTCATGTCTATTGTGTAGTGAAAATGCTGTGTGCTTGAATTGGCTCCAAGCCAAATGCACTGTCCCTAAGAGAAAAATACACATAAATGAAAGACACACATGCTTGCCAAACCGTGAATATCCCACCTTCCCTTAACCCTGAGACTCTTGGCACAGACCATTTGGATGCACCCAATGTACTTTTTCTGTCTCAGTGATCCCACCTACAAAAGGAAATATACTTAAACTGCTTCATTATCAAAATATTCCAAATAAGCCCCAAGATATGGAAGTGAGCACTGAAAGAGACACCTTTTCCCTGGCCAAGTGTGTTGTTGAACTGATGAATTTTCAATATTCCTATTAAGGGCATTGAAGGACAGACTTTATATCCTCCATGCCAACTCAGTTCATGGAAATTAAGAATTAAATAAAAAATCAGCATTACCTTTGGGGTCTGGATCAATGCCCTCTTAAAACATTTTTTGGCCTGTGTAAAAATGCAATTTCTAGACTAATCAGATATGCAAGCTTTTAAAAGGGCACTCCTTCATTTTGTACTTGGGTTTCTTTCTGTGCAATGATAAAAGAGAAAGAAAAATCACAACTTACTTTCATAGAAAACTGGATACATGTTCGTTCGTCAACTTGATACGAGACACAAAGCATAAACAAGCCAAGATAGGCCACTAAGCAGACCTGCAATGGAGAACACAGAAGAAAGACGCTAAAAGGGCAATTCGTGCATTGGGCTGACATTAGTCTGAGTGACTCTCACCAGTAACATCTGTGTGGTCAAGCACTCCATTTCGTTTACTTATGTGCTACAGTTTTTTTCCTCAATTTGTGGACTACCACTTTAAAAATAGTAAGATCAATTTATTTCAATTTAGCCAGTATTATTAAGTCCTTTTAATGTGCCAGGTGCTACACAAAACCTTCAGAGTATATGTTGATGAATAAAATTTACTCAACTTTGAATAGTATACACACTATTCAAAGGCAGGGCATTAGATTCCGAAGATTATTCAGAGAAGTATAAACGGGGAATAAATAGCATTGAGTTGGGCAAAATAAAAGGATGCACACAAGAGATGGATTTGAAATGGTCCTTCGAAGAAAATAAATTAATAATCACTAACATTTGCTAAATACTACATGCTGCGGCTCTTCTAAGGGCTTTATATGTGTTTCCCCTATAATCATCACAAAATGCTATAAGGTAGGGCCATTATGATCGTCATATTGTAAATGAGGAGGCAGAGGCACAAAGCTAGCAAATAATGGAACCGGATTCAAAGCAGGTAGCTTGGCTAAAACAGCAACCTAAGCGATAGCACAGAGGTAGGACTGCACAGAGAATGTGTCGCAAGAACAGCAAATATGCACCCAGAACTGAAATAATGAAATATAGAGCAAAAAAGGTAGGGTGGAAATCTAAGGATATGGTGTGGATTTAGTAAGTAAACAAGCGTCCTTGAAAATGTTTGAGCAGGAGAATGACAGGATTTGAGATGTTTCAGAAAAAAATGAGCAGTGGTGTTGGGTGGCTCAGAGTGAGAACCCTGGGATGTTTTACTAATTTGAGCAAGATTGATGCATCAGATAAGCCAGAACTCAGATGGTGGCAGACACATTCAGAAAGAGGTGGGGAGGACAGGTGTAGTAAAAGCAGAATCTATACATCTTGGCTATTGTGTGACTGATGGGGGACCTAGCGAGGGGGAAATGAAAAGCGACCTCCAAGTTTAGAGCATCAATAATGGAAAGAGGGTGGATGTGCCTGACTGAAACAGCTGGCCAGAGAAACAGTGAGTTTGAGAGAAAATAAACTTCTTCATCGCCTAGGCTGGAGTGCAGTGGCACGCTCACAGCTACCCCGGTTTCGACCTGCTGGGCTCCGGCAATCCTTCCACCTCAGCCTTCCAAGTAGCCGGAACTACAGGTGCGTGCTACCACGCCTGGCTAAGTTTTTTGTTTTTTTTTTATTGTAGAGATGAGGTCTCCCCACGTTGCCCAGGCTGTTCTCGAATCCATGGACTCAGGTAATCCCCTTACCTCGGCCCCCCAACTTCTGGGATTACAGGCTTGAGCCACCACACCCAGCCTCTTTTTTAATGAATTGGACTTTTAAAAACTATGATTTAGAATCTTCCTTCCTTCCTTTCTTTTTAAAGACAGTGCCTCAAACTCTTGACCTCAAGTGATCCTCCTGCCTTGGACTCTCAAAGTGTGTTTCTAATCAAAGCATATCTATTCACATTCAATTTTGAAAAAATTTAAAAGTTGTTAAAGTTCTATATTTTAAGATAGAAAACATAAGCAACAGAATTGCATTTTCTGATAAGCACAGTTTTCCCAGAGACAGATGTTGAAAGGGTGACTGAGAGTCACCTATCAAGTCACAAAACTACTGGCTTGGTAATATTTATAAATCCTACCCCAGGGCCAGCTTCCCACCACAGGCAATCCCAGTGAGGGTGGTAGAGTGGTTTTTGAAGCCAACATAGCATTTGAAGGTTCTGTTTCTATCCTATCCCTTGGTTATACAATCAATATGCTGTCTGTGCCCTCATCGGTTCCCAAGTTGAAGGCTGTTCAGATTTTTACTGGACCATGAAGCCAAAAGCTAAGCCTTCACTTAGTACAGGCTGTTTCCAGGATTTTCCATCATTGGACTGGCGGCAGGGTTTAATTGCAGTAGATAACATTTGCAGTGGAGAGATACAGCATTAAAACGTGAGCATGGCATAAACTGGAGAGGTTTGGAGAGAAAACAAAGCAGACAGGACCCAGGGAGGCAGCTTTTCAGCAAAAACCTGTCAGATGCAGAAGTAATGAGACTGAAGTTGTTTGTGTAGCCCTAATGAGACTGATATTTTCAAGTCAGGGATGAAGTTCTTTTTTAAAGTTAATAAAACAATACATTGAGATATAAGTTTGATAAAGCCTGTAGGGGTTTACTATGCATTCTCACATTAAGAATCTACAGAACTTTAAACAATGGAAGAGACCTCCTTTTTGATTTTTGGTGACCAAAAAGATGGAAGCTTCTAAACTTGCTTCTGTGGGGATGATTATATCTCCAGTACATGCCTGTGAGTTTCTGTCTGCAGGTGCCTGGGGTCAGGCCTCTCTCCTCCATAGCTGTCTTTGTCCCTGGAGACTGCTGCACTACCTGTCAGCCAGGGCTCTCCTTTTTGTCTTTACAAGAGACATATTCCAATAATCAAGCCTAACTGACCAGTATCCTAAAAATCTGATTCAGTGCCTCTACTTACACAGTTTCCCATTTCAGCAGTACTACTTCTTTGTAGCCTTCATTAACCTTGACTTCCAGCAAGAAGTTGCATAGGAACACATGTAAAGCATTTTACTTGTTCAATCAATAGACAATTTTTTTAAAAGTTTTAAAATACAGAGTTTATTAGCGAGAAGAAGAGAAGGAAAAAGATTCATGGCAGAAAGGCCTGTTATGGACAAGTTCCTCAAAAAAAGAAAAACTGCCAATAGACAGAATTTTATGGAGGTCATACAACAGGCAGACTCTGTGCTATTGTATGATCCTGGAAAATAAGAGTGAAAAACAAACAGTCCCTTACTACAGAAACTATCCAGTGTCCAAGGATCTCCCAGTCCAATAGGAAAAGAGAGGATAGCTACAATATTATGTAAACACTAGGACTATGTCTGCTGTAAGAATACACAAAAGGGCTAACTAACCTAAAGAGACCTAGGGGAACTTTCTGAAAGAAGATGAGTTTTGAATGATACTCATAAATTAACTAGAAGGAGAGTGTGAGGAAAAGTATTTTGGGCAGGGAGAGGAGTAGTGGGTGCAAAGACGAAATGCAGTGTACACATTCTACACATTCGAGGATTCATATAGGTCAAGAGCAGAGAAAGAAAGAAAAGACAAAAGACATGTTTGCAAAGATGGGCAGGCACTAGGTCACAAAGGACTTTTAGTTCAACTAGGCCATTTTAAGCAGGGGAAGATTGTGATCAATCTTGCCTTTTAAAATGGTCCTTCGGCTGTGAAGAATGGATTGGATGGGAGCAATATTTGGGGAGGGAAGACCAGCGAGGAGGCTGTTTTTCATATTTGGAGAAAGGATGAGTGTCTGAGCTCAGGCAGAAGTAAGTAAGGATAGAGAGTGGGTATGTTTGAATGACAGTAAGGAAGCCGAATTCATAGGCTCTACAGACCGATTAGATTAAGAGCTGGAGGAGAAGGGAAGGATCAGGAAGGTGCTTCCAGGTGGGTGGTGTGGCCATTTAATGAGACACAAGATAGAGAAGAAGGGGCAGAATGGGTGTGGGGAAGGATGATCCCGCATGGACTCAAAGCTCATTAAGTCAAATGGGCCTAGAGCCCAGGATGGAGGCCTAGGCTTCAGACAAGTGTTTGTTAGTCATTAGCATATGTGAAGCAATTGACACCATAAGAAACACAGGCCCATCCAGATGGAATCTAGTGAAAACAGAAAAGGGCCAAAGAAGTTACCCATAAAGAACCTTTGAGTCTTTTGAACAGAAAGCATCTCAAGTGTATTTCTGATAATTTTGGTTGCATCTCATATCTAAAAATTATGAAACCAATTGTCTTTTTAGATATTTTGAAAGCTTTACTTCTAGGTCCTTGGAAAGTATATTTTCTATAAAGCTTAAATAAATTCAAGAGATTTTAATTTCTTGACCTTCCAAGAAGACTTGATAGGTTCTGGAGGAGGGTGGGAGTCTCATTTTCTTACCTACAGCATTTCATGTTATAACAAGACCTTGTTATCAGAGAGTTTATTGGTGCTTAGTGTAAGCACATTTTAGAAGGCAGTATTTATTGAATTCCTAAAACTCAAGGCTTTATGCCGTGGGGAATTTCTCATGCCAGATGAAAGGTCTTGTTTCCTGAGCTGGCAGGACATGGACACGCCAGGAAGACACTGTGTTCTGCCGTCCCAGGCAAGGAAGGGGAAGCTCATGTTCATGAGCAGTGAGACCCGCCAGGCCTATCTGGAACAACATTCCTGGAGTTCGGGCCAGAGCTCCCATTAGATATGGTGAGGTGAGGCCCATGGAGCAGAAAAAAGGCAGTTATGTAAGGCTTTCCAGAAGGCTTCCCTTGGACCAGACACCCAGGCCTGAGGCAGACAGTGTCATAGAGCACAAAGCCACATGGGAAATGGGTTGCACTGAGAAAACTAGTGCTGAGAGAACAATAAGCTAACTAGCATTTATGTGCTTGTTAAGATTTAGTCCATGTACACAGATAATTACATTGGTAAGAAAAGCTTAAAGTGATATTTAATGGGAAAATAGGCAGTTATTGTCATATTAACCTACTTTTGGATGTGTATTTCTACAATTCGTTTAGCCTAAAGAGAAAACCTAAGTCCTAAATTCCACATTCTGTCTAAAGATATTTTTTGTCTGTCTAGGGTGAAGTCTGCATTCTCTCTTGTAGGTTAGAAAGTTAAACGGGGTTGAAATGTTCTCTGAATGTCAAGTCCATTTCTGTGGATGTGTGAATCCTGAGTTTTACATTGTCTTTGTTTCTGTTGTGTGGCCTATTGTATCTGCAGTGGTATCTTTTGGGGGTTGGTATTATAAATAAAAGGTAGATGCTGGACTAGTGTGCTAGAGATTTACCTATATTTTTCCTTTTCATTTTGTCCCAGCTAGAAAGTATCACTCTAAAA